GAAGTGTAGTTGAAAGGAGAAAGACATAGGAATATAACCCGAAAATATCGAATCCCACGTAAGATGTCGCTGCTTTCGCCAATGATCGCAAGAACCATTCGTGTTCAACGCGGCATTGTAGACGTAAGGACGTCTACAAATACCAGGCGTCGGTGTTTAGTTTATAACTGAACCTACCCATGATGATGTATACAATGATGATGAACGACCACTAATGCGTACCACGTGTGACGAACATCACGCCCTGCCGCGTGTTTGGTTGGGATGCCCCAACAGCTGGCGAATTTGGGTCACTCGAAATGAGAGAGGATCTCGATAAGAATGTTCGCGAGTAACCGAGCAATCACAGAATCACATTTTTACGAGTCGTGAACAACGCTTCGCTTCATTCGAATACAAGCAAAATGCAGGCTTTCGCTCGAAAAAGCGCGGAAACCCGAACGGTATGAATCTCCTCGGTCGTACTTTTACCTACATCGTTCAATCGCAACTATACAGCCGCCGTACGGGGCTGACACCCTATCACAAATCGCTCGCTTCATGCACACAGATCAGCCATCACAAACAGCCATCCTTTCTAACACGACACCGATACAACATATGGGAAGGACGCACATTCCGTTCCCACATCGGCGTAACATTCCGTAACGCAAAACATAAACGCTCTCCGACGGTGCAACATGCAACGCGAACTTGCACATCCGAAACACATCACGCGATGACAATGCTACCAGCAGAACCCTCTACCGGCGTGACACGCTTTTTCGAACAACCTATATACTCCGTCTGGAGTTTTGAACGCTCCCCTCGGCTTCCCACGTGCTAAGGCGCTGGATAGAAGGAGCAGCTATCGTCCTACGAATCCAGCAGCAATCACCGGCGCTTTTTTTACTAGCAGACAACGGGAACTCGTTGACCTGGTGGTCTGTCAAAACACATGTTACTGCCCACACGACATGTCTACCACCTCGAGGTCACTGCCTTATGTAGTCCTCTCATTCGTACAGCGTAGCATTTACTACAAGCCCCACGGGCGGACGCAAATCATGCAACTGAGAGCGCACTAACGTAGAAGCTCGTACTTCTCCAGAGAATTATACAAGCTGTCTCAAATAGCGGCCAGGCTCTTTAAATCGACCGCCAAAATCGGTTTCTTAACCTATCGCGCTACCATTTTGTGCAGCGTTGCCCACAAGTGCTGCATTTTTTTTATATAAAATTCGATAAGAGCGAACTTATCTGAGGAGAACGTAAAATAAGAAAAAGGCTTAACTCCCATAGAAACGCAGCAAAGCCACCGGTCTTCAAACAAGAGGGCGCCCCTTTGTTTGGAGACATGTGGCTTCGCTGCGTTTCCATAGGAGTTAAGCTTTTTTCTTTTTTTTACTTTTTCCTCGGGTAAGTTCGCTCTGCAAATTTTATAGAAAAAAATGCACCACCTGTGGGCAACGCTGCACGAACTCGTAGCGCGATGGGTTAAGAAACCGATTTTCGCGGTCGATTTAAAGAGCCTGGCCGCTATTTGAGACAGCTTGTAGATACAAGTAGATGACGACACGGCCCCGTGGGTCTCACCAACGAACGCCGCCGCTGCTCCTCCCATCGGCGACCCTAGGCGAGGAAAGCCAACGCCACCTGGAATGATCAATGCCTGAGAACGATCTCCTTTTCCTCCGTTGAACGTCATCACGGTCGCCATTTCGGCAATTGGACCCGAGCCAGATATCCAGCGTCCTTCGATGCGATGATTTGACACGAAGCCCAGCCGAACGCTGACGCGGTACTCGTGTCCGAACTGTGTCTTCCAGCGTTACCAGATCAACTCAGTCACGGAACTGCCCATGGTAATTACAGTTGCACAGGTTTTGAAGCAAAGCGTCTAGAAGGCGCTACCGTAGCGTCTTCGAAGAATACCGTTTCAAAACCCAGCCTCTAGATGGCGCTTCAAGCGACAGGTGGCTTAACATTCCGTAACGCTAGGTGGCGTAAGATACCGCCCGATCCAAAGGGCTCAGCCGGATTCATCCATCATCTATCCATCCGGCGGGCTTAAGGGAGGAAGGGGAAGACCCCCGTGCGCGAGAGTTTCACAACTGAGTTGATCTAGTAGCGTCGGTGTCGTTCTCACTGTGATGACGTCAAAGTCCTCGTGCACGGGCTTTGGTCATTCTAGGTGGTGTTGAGAAAAGCGCGCGTGTGACGAAAGCCGAGTGCCGCTCCCGAAGCGTGGCCGCACCCCCACGTTGGGCGCCATTCAGAGGATGGAGCAGCCGCAGCAGCAGGTCTGTGGATAGTCCGGCGCGTACGCTTTCCTCTCGTGGCCGAACACGCTGAAGGTGCCCACGTGCGAGCGCCACTCGTAGTACACCGTCGACACCGGGATGACGCGTACCCGCTGCCTCTGTAAAAGCCGAAGGAAACGCGTTCGTGAGTGTGTGAAAAACGTTACACGAGGCGAACTCGCTACAGTCATGTATCGTTAGTATCACTTCCGTTTTCCCCAGAAATCATCCATGATGTAAGTCGTGCGTAATTACGAGAAAATTCCTGCATCTACCCTTTTTCTCGTCGAAATTTATGTCTATATAGAGGGGAATTCATATTAACGTGTTTATTATTAAGGAGACATGACTGTAAATGACAACCACCAAAGTATCTTTGATAGGGTCATAGGAAATGACGACACCACGGGTGTCCCGAAGAACGCGGACAGAAATAAAAAAGGCAAAAAGTGAGGCCTAAAATAAATGTGCTCAGAATGTCCCCTTTGGAGAGCATACCCTTTCCAAAAGGGACGATCTTGTGCAGATTACGCAATATTCGCAATCTCCGCACAATGCATTGCACAATCGGAGCAGGCACCGAGTCTGCAGTAGAACTTGGCCTGCGAAGGTCGTTGGTAGTTGGTACACCTTGCGGCGATTCGCAGGACTGAATACAGCAACGTCGGACACAGACAGAAAAGTCAAAAGTGCATGGGATCTGCTGGAAGAATGTATCGTACATGTGTCGATCGAACAGTGCCGCCTCCGGATCATAACGGTTTCTCGGTACGGGCATAACTTCATCGAAAACACGCTATCGAAGGCACGTCATCGAGGCACTCCCCATAATGACACGTCACAGAGTTCTGGACAACGCTGTCACTTCTAAAGGCGATATTTGTATACCGAATCTCAATAGACGGGATTTGGAACTTTGCAAAGTGTACGTCTCCCGCATGCTACGTAACGTCTGAACTCCTTCGAACTTGTAGGGGTACCAGTCATCTTTCGTGTCTAGCGATCAGGACCTGCAGGGTCAGGAACAATATTTAGGTTCGAAAAGCTTTCATCCAACGCTTTTCGTACTTTAATTAAGAATTCGACAAGGAGATTGATGGGGAGTCTTCAGATTGTTCGGGGCTGAGCGTCTACAGCGAAACGAACCTCTTCCGTCATTCTCCGCCGAGAATAGATCAAAGCAGAGAGGGACCTTTCGTTTCACCAATAAGAAAGGAATCAGTAACGGAAGACCAGCGAACATCTGTCAAGTGCACGATGAAGCCCGGCTCGCAATGAATCACTCGGTCAGTACAACAACAGCAGCAGCAGCAGCAGCAGCGTTGCAACGCCTGTTTAACGTGGCACCGTGCCACGTAAATAGCCGTAACAAGCCAAGTCCGACTGATCACCGGTCCGTAGCGGAAGAAAAACGTGCGCGAGACGTTTTCCAGGCATCGCATAAATCAGTGACACACACAAAAAAAGAATCCCGTTAATTTTTTTTAATCGCGTCATACCGGTTATTTTGAGCAATCAACGCAAAGTTTAAAAAAAAATGATTTAAAAAAAAACGAATATATCAGATTTACTTGATTTAAATTCGATTAGTTTGATATAAACAATTGTTGCTTAAAATAATGAATCCTTACCATTAGGCGTATTTTTCAAGATGGCAGATTGATTGATCAATTCATCCGATCACTGATAACAATGCTGAATAGGGCATTAATATACGTGTAAAGTACATTTTAAGTAATAACTTTTTGTGGAATCCCAGCCACACCCAAACAAAAACAGCTTAATTCTCTTAGTAAAGAAATCTTTATTTTATTTTTATCTGACGTTCCGACATGATTGCAACAGGACATATTACTTTTCTAGATTTCATACTTTTCTTTTGCTTTCTGATTTTGTTGCAGTAGGACGTTGCGTAGCTGGCAAACGATGTGAAAGGCAGAAATCAAGTACAAAACGAGCGTGTTGGTAACTCCAATTTGCTCAGAACACCACTTCATTGGGCCCCAGTTCAGCCTTAAATAAATCTTTTTTAGCGCGATGATTCTTTGATTTAAATACAAAACAAATGCACATAGAGAGCATCAAGTGAGAGACAAACGGTAAATAAAAAAGAAAATATTTTCGAGGTTATTTTTGCGGGAAAGGTTTGATTTAAATAATCATAGTAAAACTGGTCGGATATCAATCACGATTTAAATCGTGTTGATCTTTATTCTTCACAGTTGGTCGACGGTATTTTTGCCAACAGCGTAAGTGAGAACGCGCTAGCTGAGCATCCGAAATACAAACTTCCGTAGCTTGGGCTACATTAAGTTCAAATGTAAACGAAAATATCGTCGAGCAGTTTTGAACCGGAGCCTCCGGCAGCCCCGACACGCACCTGCATGAGAATCTTCTCGGATTTGAAGGCAGACGCGTGCTTCTGGACCAGCTGGACAGACGCCATGTTCACCGTCGTGTCCGGGAAGTGGGTTGATGGGCCAGATCTGCGCAGCAAAGGACGAGCGGATGACGACACGGGCAGACCTTTCCAATAATCACCTTTTGTGGGCTGCCATCTTTGCCTACTGGACTGCGGAACGCGTTCTGGGCATGCGCGGTAGCTCTCTTTCAGGAAATATAAAACGCTGCACAAGCGTCAAAAGCCCCATTAGTCAGCACTTTTCGCCTGGGTGATAAGCGCTGGAAAGGTCTACGCGGATAGCAAGTCGTCTGCTTCTTGCGCAGGGGATGCGGTGACGTCAGAAAGTCGCCGAGCTCTGATTGGTCTGGCTGAAAGGATAGTGGGTAGACCTCGATGCTAGATGCCTGGAGGTCTACCCACTATTTTGTATTGGCTTCGATTGGAGGCACTTTTTTTTCCGATCAGCCAATAAGAGATCGGCGTTCTGACATCAACACAATCCCTGCGCAAGAAGCGGACGAACTTGCGCTCTGCATAGATACTGACTGCTTAAGCAGGGTGTGGCAAGCCCTCCCGAGCACCTCATTATCAATTATTAGCCAATGAGAGAGCGGCATTCGCCGATAAGGACGTCGAAGAACCAATCACGAGACGAAAACAGAATAAGCCACGCCGTGTGACTGCGAAGAAAAATGAAGAGTGAAATCGCTTAAGTCTGAACTCGTGGACACACCCTGGAATTCTGTTCCTCGAAGACCAGCTGACCCGAGACGAACTTGATCTGGTCGTCGGGCACAAATGAGTGTTCCACCACGTGATCATCCACCCTGTTAGACCTGAAACGAGAGGAAGAACTTTCCTGAGCCGCAGTGCGTTGCCTGGACGAGAGAAGTAGGACGTGTCTTACCGAAAAAATAAAAATAAAAACTATGCATCGCCGGAACGCTCAATCTCCAACCGAATGCAACGCTAGCAGCTGGGATAAAATGCGAAATGTGCAGGACATACCGTTCTCCGAGTCAACAGTCAAGCATTTGTCAAAAATGTTTTAACGAAAAAAATTAAAAAGCGGCCACAATGCCCGTGAGTATACGGTGATGAATAGCGTCTGCGGATACCGGGAGAACGAATCTCATTTTCCCATTTAAATTTCCAAAGAAAAAAAATTGCTTATAACTTTGGAATCAGATAATTTCTGAAAGTATTCATCTGGTTCCAACCGTACACTCGGGCGGAGACGGAGCACTCGCAGCGATGCATTGTTTATTATTTGAGGTGAGAAAAACGCCAGTTTATTTTTCTATTTTTCTTCCAAACACGCTGTATAATATGTAAGGCGGCGTTCCGGCCATTTTGGCGCCCCAGTCGTCGGGCGGGGACGGCTTACCAGACGACGGTGAGTTTGATGTAACACTTGATCTGGCCCGTTCCCGAACAGGCCCGGCAAGGTGCTACGCCGTCACCATTACATTTCCAGCAGCTGCCGAGGAACAAGAACGCAACGAGAAATATTAGGTAAGAGACTCGAGCGAATTTCTACGCTCTTCCGGAGCTTTCCCAAGTGCTTTGCGAACAAGTCGGCGCTCCCGATTTCTTTATGTTATGCACCAGTGCCGCCCATGCGCTGCTCAACCACGAAACACTCTGAAAATAGATGTGTGCGTCGGCTTCCCCCAGAAAAGAGAAAGAACCACCAATCGCTCACATCCATTGAGACAGCTCGGCGAGTGAGGAAACCAAAAATATGTTCAGACATAAAAAAAAAAAATAATAATAATGAAGTCTACGATGTGATACGGAGCATGACGGAAGCATGGGAAACATCATTCATATATTACATTTATTAATCGATTGTAAGTGTCTTTAGTTCAAGAGCATTACACAAGAGTAACAATGTTCGATAAAAACGAACAACACCAACATCACGCCCAAAGTATCACATATCGCCGGCTTCATTTAAAAATCTAAGCACGATTTGGACGTCGCCATTCGCCAAGCTCTATTCGTAGATCGTATTCGAAAACTCCAACGCTCTATAGGTGGCGGGGCGGTAGTTCCAAGATGACGGAAGAGATGGGGATGAATTCCCCAAGATCTCCGGTGCGCCTGCTCGCCGACGCTGGTCAGTGCGCTAAAAATATTTAAGTGTTTTACAGATCCGAAGCGGTCAGGGCAGGAGCATATTACAGGTGACGGGGGAGTTGATGTGCGTTAGGAAAACGAGCATCCTGATATTTAAAAGTTGCGGAAACCTCAACTTGCGGAGCTTTGGAGGAAGAGCGCGTTTTGGGCATCGGCCACGTCTCTGTGGCAAAATATATTTCAGTGTGCTGAAGATATCATGGTGTCTGCACTCTGCCTGGCCACAAGTGCTCTATAAATTGATCCGCGCACGAAGACCGTCAAGCCCCGGAAGAGCAGCGTTCACAGTATTAATGCCTTCGTGTCACGCGTTCCCAACTCGCTGCTCACAGTCACGGTTTTAGTGTACTTTCACCCGTGATCATAATGCGCTATGGTTATTGTTAAGAAGTTTTAGGATAGCGTGACTGCAGGCTACCGTATGGTGAAGCATTGCAACCGGAAATTCGCGCTGCGCCTTCGAAGCATAATTTTCAACGCGCGCCAGGCGTTGTCGTGCTCACGGTAGCTTGCGGTAACGCTATCCTAAAACTGCCTATTAACGCCATCAGCGTGTCTATGAGTTTTATTTATTGCCTCATCAAAACAAGCTGTCATCACGAACGGCTGGCTAGCGCAGACGCGCTTAAAGAACTTAAAGCATTTCTTCATTTGCCTTTTGCCTGAAAGCAAGTACGCGTATTGTGTCCTTTAAAAGAGCTTGGAACAAATGGTCATGTTCTTTGTAACGGCCTGCGAACCCATTCCCAATGTCCATTGCTCGACATACCGTTCCGCGACCAGTTTTCTCCTATACTTAGGTCAAAGAACAAACTTTTTGTACACCGTACGCGATAGAGCTCCTCACTACTAGAGGAAGCGCTTGCCGTCACGTTGAGCACAAATTGAGCTGGCGACCACAAGACCACGCATCCTCAGCGTATGCGATATACGAAACGTCCTATAGTGAAACGGGATATTCCGGTCCCTTTGTACAACGCTGTTCCGCCTCGGAACATAAGAATTCATATTTTAACGCGCTCAGTTTTTTCGTTAAAACTGCCTCACACACGAACACGTCGACCAGAACCGTGCGGTAATATAGCAGCACCAAGGCCGACAGTCCCTGCCATCGTCTCCGCACCGCTGTACCCGCTCCTCTGGTTCTTCGTTCGTCCGCGAGAGGGCGAGCGGCGAGCTGGAGTGCCAAATAGTGATTTGTACTCCGAAAGCGCCGCGAAAAAAGTAAACGCTACGGGATGTTTTACGGTGTAAGCGATCGGAGAAGCAGTCACTGCGAACATTCACTCCGTCATTTGCAGAAAGACGGCAAAAAACAAACCCGTAAAAAATTTTTTTTCGACATTTAAAAAAAAAAAAAGAAGTATATATATATATATTTACGCGCGACCGCGTGAAAAATCACGCTAAGTGTCACATCGCAGGCTTCGTTTTTTCGGTAAAAACGATTTTTCGATTTCGTAGTTCGCCATTTACACATCGCGGGTGATTTACCCTCGAGGGCGTACTGCCGCTAAATAACCGCGCTAAAAAAAAAAAAAAAAAAATATATATATATATATATATATATATATATATATATATATATATATATATATATATATATATATATATATATATATATATATATATATATATATATACGGGTTTTTTTTTTTCCTTTTTTTTTTCGGAATACACACTTACGTACACATTTCCCTGCAAAGTACGCGACACAAAAAAATATACCCCCCAAGGATTGCGAGACGTTGAACGAGTCATGCCACGAACTTGGCTCCCACGTCAGCCAAAAGAAGTTACGTCATGGAATTATAAACAAAACGCTTGCCTTCGCCACTTTAGTGCGTTCGAAGATTGCAGCGTTAATCTATCTACCTTTCGTCAGGATAGGCGCTGAAATATAGCCGGTATCGCTTAAATAATAATAGAAAATAAAGCGCGTCTCGGTTTACCAGGAATGATAAAACGAAGAATGAAATGTCCAGTCGGTGCCGGAACTTAATACATATCTCACCGGTGAAGGCGGGCTCGTATTAAAACAGACAAGGTATTTTGTTTTTTTCTAAGAAATGTGGTTTTCTCGAAGGTATTAAGCGGTGCTTGAGCCATTTGGCAGATCCACACTCCGTTTCAGGTTTCACCTCACGCTGGACCGCAGCAAACAATAAGAGAAATGGGGGCCAATCCATTATACCGCGCGAGTGTCAGATGACCTTCCGGAGTGGCAACCGCGACATGCCGAACGCGCAGTCCGGTAATACGTTCACAGAGCGGGATCCGCTTGGACTGCTCGTCTGCTGCGGTTCATCGTCAGGTGAAACGGAGTATATTCAGTCGACCTGAAGGGGCTTTCCCGGTGCTCCTTCGTACACGAGGAGAACGAGAGCTGCGGAGTGAAGGCCAAGACACGCACCGCTTTCGTCCCATGCCGTGACATTGGAAGCAGCGGTCGTTGTCTCCGGACAGACTTCTCTTCTGACCGTCGCCCTGACAGTAGTTGCACTGCTCCTGGACAAATCCGAAAGAGAGAAAGCGATTTTGCGAGAGTTGGCTTCACGGCAGCAAACGAGGCAAAGCAGACAGTCCAGTGCAAACAACAGTATATGTGAAATTCCAATGCCGCGCATTAAATGTTTCACATTTCGGCCGCCATGCCGCGCCAGCTAGTTTTCGTTGCAGACTTGGATAAGTGGCGGTAGCTCCTCGCTTCCCTCCGTCGCGTCTTCAACGCTGGATGGCGTCGCCGTCTTTGGAGTTGGGAATAGTGCCGTAAACAAAGAGGCAGCCTTGTGCCGTAGCTATTTTGCTCCATTAAAATTCGCGAGACTAAAGGTATAAAAATAAAACTATGGAATATGCGCACATGTTTGTTTTTCTTTGTTTTTCGACATGTTACCGTGGAAACCGTTATGTTATCAGCTGCTGATTGCTTATTTCATATCACCGTATCCTTTGAACCAACCGATAATTTCCTTTTTTAAGTAATAAACCCGAATAATTTGCTGATATACATAAGATGACGTACTAAATTGCAAACTAAAAAAAACAAAAAACATCCACAAAAGCCAAAAGTCATTATACAGTGTCAGTTTTTAGTTCATAAAATTTTCGGGATTAAAATTTACTGCTATCGGAGTCTTCCTATTGTACAGATTGCGACACAGTCAACCCGAACGCGTGATCCCCGTTTTTCTTATTTTTGTTGTCTTCACAACTGAAAGCCTGTCGTCAAACATGCTAATGGCGTGAAATCTGTTCAAGATAAGGCGACAATTAACATTTGCGTCCGACACTGTTTGAGTAAAAGCCAAGAAAATGTATGTTTGCGCCTAATGTCTCGTGCATTGCGGGTACACGAGCACGTAGCTTTCAGCGCGCGTGCACGAACGAGGAAAATGTTTTTATCATTATTTAACCGTTCAAAAACGTCGTTCTGCAGGATTGAATCATTCCACGAATCATTCGGTTAAATGTTCGCGATTTCTCCTTTATATAAAGAAACAGACAACGAAGCAGTTAAGATTTTCGTCTTTCCTCGTGTCCGATGTTATATTCTTACGATGACCATTTTGTTGAAAACGGTTAGAATCTACTTAAAATGCACATGCAAGTGATGAGACGTATATGCTTTTGCATAGAATGAAGCGATTTTGCATGAAATTCGGGAACTGAATTTTTGTTGACGCACACGAAAAATTCACGGAACCCTAGCCATAAACAATTTCGATGTAAAAAAAAAAAAGAAAGAAGAAAGCGCAGGATCACACCGTATTTACGGTGCGCGATTGGCCTAACCGGTAATCATCAAACGCACAAAGACGCCGAGCGCCGTGACGATACACTTTTGGCGCTGCGTGATTGGCTCTATTGGACGGTAGCGTTGGCTGCGGTTGAACGTCAGGCCTGTTCACACGCTCGCGTTTACTTAAGACCAAGTTCTTGTGATCTTCTGCAACGACCACGAGACAATACACTTCAAGCGCTGGATAAATTTAATAAACGAGTACCGGCCAAGCTGCTGCATGCTGAGACGCACTTGAGCCAAAACTGGCGGCGCGGCGCCGCCAATCTGGTTTTTCGCGGCGGCGCGGCGCCGGCATTTACGGTAGACCAACGCAGACAGCAAGTCGTCTGCTTCTTGCGGAGGAGTCGTGGTGACGTCAGAACGAGGCCGAGCTCTGATTGGCTTTGATTGGAAGGATAGTTGGTAGACCTCAATGCTAAATGCCTTGAGGTCTATCAATTTTTTTTTTCAATTAGCCAATAAGAGTTCGGCGTTTTAACGTCATCGCAACCCCTGTGCAAGAAGCAGGCGGACTTTCACTCAGCAAAGGAGCGTGCTCGCAAGCGCCGGCGCGTCACCTGCTGATAAGATTGAATTAAAACTGAAGACACATAATTTTTAAGGTGTCTACAATACAACTTTTACTGTTCGAATTGAAGGACCATTTCAGCTTCCCTTTAAATCACACGTTGGTAAGAAGTCGCAAGTGTGTGAAGCGGCCTTTAATGTGAAACAAAGTAATAGACGAGGAGTTTTTGTCAAGGAGTAAGCGCCGAGGAGTAGAGGAGAGCGGCGCACTCACGTATCCGTTGCCGGAGCAGCTGGCGCATCGCTTCCGCCCAACTCCTCCGCAGGTGTGGCAAGTCTTGACCGAGGCCGTATGGGGCACCTCGACCGCGCTGCTCTGGCACTGGAAGGCCGTCGGCACGGGCACCGGGACCTCCCAGGGGCCCGGGGCAGGGCCCGCCGAGGGCCCGTCCACGGGACCGCCTTAGAACCCAGACACAGAGACAACACACATGTTATGTACTGCACTCGGGAGAATAACAAAAGAGATTCATTGCGCTTCTAAAGAAGCGGAACGAGTTCTTTGGCCCCTACCTGTGTATGGCTCGAAGCACCAGGCGGTCTGTCTCTTCTCCGTGAACGTTTCCAGCGTGTACTGCACCGAGACAACGTTGGAATAACGTCAAAAGCGTTTTCAGGTGTATCTACTGACGACGTAAGGTACGCCTTTCAGGAGCTGCCTCCGGGACTTTGCGTTCTGAACAACGCGTATATGATACACTCGCGACAAAAAGATTAGCCCAAAGTCTCAATTTTTTTCTTTCTTCTACTTCCGAACATTAGGAGTGCATAAATTTCAATGGTTTCGTCAACATTCCTTGGCCTCGTCGCTGACAAGATAAGAACTATAGGGAGGAGTTGCCATCGAGGTGGCATCGAAGTGCCCCACTATCGATGGCACTTAGGCGTCTCGTGAATTACGAGCGCGCAAGGGCAGCCAAAGCACGATGAAACGCAACGAACATTTGAAAGAGATTCCCTGCGCTTGTTGTCATGTCGGTGATTATAGTGCTTCGTTTGGCACGAGCCATCTTGCTAACCAAATGGCGAGTGAGGCATGCCTCCACGCCAATTCGAATTCCGCGGACACGTGCTCTACTTTATTAGCCGTTTTCTATCGTGGTCAGAAACAACACGGGCTAGCGCGCAAGATCAGCGATGTACTAGGTCTTTGCATAGTGTATGTGGCATTCCTTCGGCTTCAGACACACAGAAGGTCAGAGCAGGTTGCGCACAAATCCAGCGGCCACTCCGCGTTTGTTGTGCGAGTCGCTTCCCCGCGCGAAGAGGGTCCGTAAGGTGAAGCACCCTTCTCAGGCAGACGAAGGCCGGCGTTACAGGGAATCTACAGGTATTCACACGAGGGAGAAATCCCGGGGATTTCTCCTCGGCAGGCGCATCCCACGACGAAAACGTCAGGCTTTGCGTTGTGCAAAAGCCTCGCGTTTTAATCTCGTGATGCGCGCGTTCCGGGGAGAAATCCCCGGGATTTCTCCCTCGTGTGAATACCCCATCGGCAAGGCAGCATTACTACCTCCATGCAGCACTTTTTTTACAGTGCTGCCCGCTCACAAGATATAAAAAAAAAGCTGCTCACATTTTACGTTAAAACACCGTAACCCCTACCTTATCGAATCAATTAACAATTTCGTGTAAAGGTTTATTCGCAAACTTGCAATTGCTTGCGATCGTGTTCGTTAAATACTGTTAAAATGTCCTACGAGTAAAGGTCCTCGATGTGTTTGTGTTTGTCTTGGAGGTAGCGTCAAATAAGCCAATGCACGAGAAGCATACCTCGTGAGGCCCTTGGAAGCAAATGGCGGCAGAGCACTCGCTCGTGACACGGTACCCGTCTCGCAACTCCGTACAGCTATGGTTGTCGGTACGTGTCAGAAACGCGAAGCGTGATTTTTATTGAGAGGCTTTGGACGAGAGAACATACTGCCACCGATATCGGGTAGCCATGGAACTCTCGAAGTTTCCGTATATTTCCTATTTTTCCGACCATCATTCCTTCTTTTTTTCTTTTTTATCTCGAAGAACTTTGAACAATGTAATAAACAATCATTTCTCGTAGATAGTACGTACATTTTAACTCGCAAATACCACAAAGCCTTCGCTCTAGTGAAATGCAGTTCCAGCGCCACCTCATAGATGGCGCAACCGTGCTAGCCTGCTTTCTCATCGTAAGAGGTCACAAGAACTCGGTTCTAAGCAAACGAAAGTGTGTGAAGGGGCCTTAAGGCGATTAAATGCAATCTTACTTGACCACAAATTTAAACAAAATTTATATCAGTTTGGCGGCGATAGAGTGCGCTGTTAAAAGGCAGACGTGCATGTCGGCCTTCTACTACTGCATAAAACCGACCTCCCTAACCGGAGCTTCCTCTGCGCTGGTCAAACTGGTCACTCTTCGATGCTTCGTTCGTTCACATCTTTGCCTTAGGCTTTGAAGAGACCGAGACGGGCAGGTTGACGAGACATTCATATATCCTTATGATTTGCAGTACACTATGGTCGGAACGTACGAAATACGGTCATAAATCGGCGAACACGAACTGTTTATTTGTCGTTTACTGTATGCTCGACATTAAGATTATCGGCCTCTCGTCCATCTTTCTTGTAGTTTAGTATCCAGTCACGACCACTACTTTAAACGGTTCGGTCAATTCAGTGACTGAAGAACGAGCTTCCGTTGCAACCGTTTGAACGATAGCGATCGTCAGCTGGCGTGTCATCCGCTTTCCGATTGAGGGCTTACGTGAAAGGCAGACGTGTGGTCGATCTTGGTGATGGCCATGTCCCGAGCGCACGCCTTGCCGTAGCAGCAGTGCTCGGCCACGTGCTTGGTTAAGGCTTGCCTGGCCTCTTGCTCCGTCACCTGCGGAGCGCTGAGAGTCCGTAGAAAAAGGTACGCCGTCAGGCACCCGCTGGTCGCCATCTTCAGGGCCGAACATACGGCCACGATGCTGAGTGAAATATCCACTGGCTGATACCACAGCTACTGAGACTATAAAATCTTCTTCGGCAAGTCTGGGAATCCTTCCGTATCTTTCTGTGTGTGTTCGTCAAGCGGAACTGGGGGAAGCCCCCTTACTGTATGACCTTCACATCGGGGAATCACCGGTAGACACAAAAGCAGGGAGTTTTAGTAGACAGTTACGATAACGGTGCCAGATACACCGCCGGTGCCTTAGCGCGTGCATCGTATCGTATTGTTATCGGAACTCGTAACCGGAAGGATCTACTAAAACTCCTTAGCAACGTTTGAGAGAAATCAATGAAAAGTAGATGAAATTCGGCTTGTACTCGCATGGCGACCTACAGCAAAACAATAAAAGAAAGAAGGCGACATAAAAACTGCAGGTCGGTATTTAAGAGTGACCGTGCGTGGTCAGCCCGGGTCATTGCGTTAACACTTGGGCAGCCTATGGGATCACAGTCTCACCAGACAAAGAGCGGGCGAGGCTGTCTTAATCAGACATGTACACGTTGCCCCCCCCCCCCCCCCCCAAAAAAAAAAAAAAAGTAACTAAATACTGTTACTCGTTACTCGCTCAAAAAGTAACGAAATACGTTACTCGTTACCGATTCTCTAAAGGGACGCATTACTAAAAATGAAAAGTAGCGAGTTATTTTTCACGTTGCTTCGACGACCAAATACACAACTGTTTTTGGTTTATGGTTTATTGTTTTCATTTCAGTAGTCGTTGCACTTAAGGCTGCGGTCCCACGGCAGCCATCTTGAACAAGGCGTTAGTTCAACCAATAGATGGCGACACGCACCCGTGGGGTGGCCGAAACATTGGTTCACAGTGGGATGGCTCGAGCACCATCACGTTCCCCTCGTGGCCTTGCTCGCGCCGCTGCCAGCTGTGCTCAGCTAGCTCAAGTAGCGTGGCCCAGCAAACGGATGTATGCGAGAATGTCAGGCTGGGTATAAATTGTTGTCTGATATAGGGAGATGCGGTCGGCGGTTGTAACGTGCTTTCGCAATAAATCTTACCAAGAAGGAATCAAATGTTGATTGACGTGTCAATATTCTATCAATGAAAATTTCCTCTGCAGGAATGCACGCTCAGTAGACTCAACCAGTGGCAGCGGACGTCGAGTAAACTGCTTCGCGATTTACGGTACTTACCTCACCATTTTAATGACGACTAAAATAATTATCGTCACGAAATATTGTGTTTCACGGGGTCCGGAAGATGTTGTAAAGGTTGTTGCATTATAGTTCCCGGAAAACAAACGCCGTTGCAATATTTTCGGAAGTACCGAAACACATTATGTTGTAAGTACAGCTTAGGGAAACCATCAGAAGAAATAGGAAGACGTTTATTTGCAATGAAGACGCTATGAATGAATGGCGTTTAGCGACGGCAAGTTATGAGCGTTCGGGAATTTATAAGTTGACGTGATTGCTAACCATGGACATGCGGACAATGAAGACCAGTTTTGTCGGGAGATGGTGTTGTGGTGATGACCGGATATCGGACGACTCATGGCAGACGAACAAGCAAGTTTCTTCTCAGCGATCGTTAAGTGTCCAGTTTCAAGCACAACACGTGGCTACCGACGTTGTCGACGTTTCGAACACTTACCGCTTTCGACAAAAGTCTTGGCACCTGGGCTAACTTTGTGGAAAGACTCGAACAGTAACTGAAAACGATCCACTATTCAGTCGGTGGGTGGCGAAACGTATCCAGATCTGCGGAGTCATGTACGATGCGTACTCTAAGTGGCTGGAAGTTTACACGATGTCTGCCACGACGTCCAAACACGTCATTGACGTTCTACGGTCTCTTTTACCTACTTTTGCCCTACCGAAAATACTTTTCTCTGATAACGCGCCAAATCTTGCTTCAAATAAAATAAACAAGTTTTTGAAGAAAAAAAAAACGGCATCAGGCATCACATTAATGCACCATACCATCCTGCAACTAACGGGCAAGCAGAACAGATGGTGTGCGAAACGAAAAAAGAAATTCCTTTTGAAGCTTACGGAAGAAACCGTTCAGTGAAGAATCGCCAGGTTCTTGTTCCGGCAGCACGCGTCGGTCTCATCTTACACGGAAAAAAACCCGCCGAAGCAATATTCGACGGAAGAATAGCCACACCCCTCGATCTCATGATACTATCGCTTACGAACAAAGATCGAGAGATACCCACATCGGGAGTAATGGCAGTTTATTCGGTCGGACAACTCGCCTACGTGAGGAATTTCAGCGGAAGTCTGGCCTTCCATGTAAAACTTGAGTAGAAAAGGCTCTATGTTGGTTGACCAGGAGGTGTCATCTCTCTGAATAGCTTGGATATCAATGCCCTTAAGTGTAAATATAACTAAATCACAAACCTTTCTTTGTGTATTGTGTAACTGCCCTTGTATTTGATAGTAGAAGCTACGGTGGTGATCTGGACCTTTCACACCAGACTCCTTTTTCTTATTTTTCGCCTCATACTCCTTTGCGGTTTAAGTATGCTTCAAGAATCTTTTGGAACGGGGACACTTTACGTCAACGAGGCCATTTGTTTCAAGTAGTCAATCAGGGAATGCTGCTAGAAATCCGTCCCTCATATTAACGAATAAGCCGCGCTTCTGCACAGTGCAGTTTTCCTGTTCCACGTACAGTTGTAAAGCAACATCCTCATTGATTCTACCATATACTGTTGCGGGTGAAGAAAGTCTTTGGGTACACGATACTTGAAACAAGTCTGGCACTGTACGTTGTGGTTGAACACCCATTAATGTCGTCGTCCTTATAGAGCCTCATCATTTAATCATTACCTCGACACCTCATATTGCTCTTCATCAACAGTAAGTACAATAGGCTACCGCCACATTACAATCCAAGAATTGAAAAATTAAGTCGTTCAGTCCTTCAACCAGTTTATAATTTATATAATGTTATTACGTTACATTACCTCGAGACGATCGACGTCCATTGTCGATCTTCAAATACTTATACCTGTATATAAATTAGACGCACAAGGGGGGGTTGGTTGCCGAGTGCATGGTCTAGCGCACACCAGCTCGGAGCACTGGGAGCGAAAGCTCGCGCTGCAGAACCCACCCCGCCCCTGCCCGTTTCGATCTGGAAGAGCATCGTACCGGCGTGCGGTCGTGCATCACTACTGCGTGGCGCACGTTGGAGACCCCAGGTTTTCGGTTGTACCGCACTGGCTAAATTGCTCATCTACAGCTGAGACACCAGACGCCCACTAAGGCGGACTAACTTCCGGCTGAATAAACATACACACAACAATTTGCAATTAGACGCATAATAACAAAGAACACAGTGTGCCGCCTCTTTTCTTTGGATGCCTTTTTTTTCTAAACCAGCGCAAGCTCTTGCGTTCTCTCTTTTGAGACGGTTAGAACGGTCGCATATAAAACCCGCGTTTCTCCTACCCGCCCGCTTCCTCCTCTCATTATGTGTATTTGGTTATAACTAAATAAGCTATAATAATGGTGTATTATTCATATTTACTTTCAGTTTCAGTCAGGGAAAAGGAGTTTCGCGGCAACTAGAGCCAATAAATGAGCTGCGCTTAGAGTATCGGCACTCTCTTCCCCGACAGTGTTGTGAACGCCGCCATTTTGGTGCTTGTGCAGAGCAGGCGCAACTGCCGATCGTCATGATTCAAAAGTGCGACATCGTCAGCATTAGATTCGGTGTTACGAAGCTCATGTAATGTTGCTTTGCTTTGTCGCAAACTGTTTAAAGTGGGGGACGGAAAAGCGTTTCTTGTGATTTCAGATAAAGCTTCAAGTAACTGGCAACCATAATTTTAAGCCATACTAAGGCCAAGCGTGGCTACTCTGAAGCGTAGCTTATTTAATAACACTATTCATGCTCTTGTTCAAGAGGTTTGTAATACCTAGGGTGCCTCAATGTCCTTCTGTTTAGGGTGATGCCACCCTCTGTAGTACCCGATGCCGACAGCACGCGCTCACGGGGAAAATACAAAGAAATCGACGAAAACAAAATGTCGCCATAGCACAATCAGCGCCACGAGCGCGTGCAGGGACACGCTCTTTCACGCGCTTCTGAACAAAAAATAAAAATAAAAGAGGGGGACAAAATGGCCAGATGTCGTGCTCCACCCGAAGCAAAGGGCACATGAAGTGCTCCACCCAGTAATACCTGGAGGGGCCATATCGTAAGCCCCGTGGATTCCACAAGCCACTACCTTTTGACACCAGCCTCTTCTTCATTGTTCCCGCTTGTGCCAGTAACTTAGCTACGGTTCAGAGTAACGACACTTGGCCATATTGTGGCTTAAAATCATGGTTGCCAATTATATGAAGCTTTATCTAAAATCACAGGAAACACTTTTCTCTCCCTCACAAATGTTTAAACAACCCGCGACAGAGCATTGCAATATTGCATCAGCTTCCTAGCACCGCATCTAATGCTGAGGAAGTCGTACTTTTAGATCACGATGATCGACAGTTGCGTTTGCTCTGAGCAAGACCCAAAATGGCGGCGCCCAAAACAATTTTGGGGAACGGAGTGCCGATACTTTAAAGCTCATTTAGTGACTCTAGGCATAAAGTGAACTCGGGTGTATTCTTTTTCCTCTTCGTCTTCATTGTTTATTGATTTCAATCATATCGAATAATGAACACATTATATCACGCTACGGTTGTGTAAATATTGGTCTTAGATTTATTAGCCTGACCCAGTACTTAAACCATTCAGTTATCGATAGTAAATCTTCCAATATAGTTTTTAAATGTGAGGGTAAAAAGACACGGAGATTGATGATGATACAGACGCCAACGCCGCCCTCGGAAATTTTTTGAACATTAGAAATCAGCAGTTTGTCTGCCATCCGCCAGGTAGCGCAACAAAACACCCAAACAGTTTTTAATTGTTTTTAAAATTAGCTAAGCTCTACCCCTATTAAGAAACCAAAGCAATATCATTGTGAAAATTTAATACATCGCAATGTATATCTATTCCAAACTATAAATGTTATTAAATGCCAATAAATCTGTTTGATGTTCAAAACAGATATGCGTCAAAAACAGGTAAGTTTGAAGGGCTCCCGGAGCGTTATGACTTTGAAAATGAAAAAAAGCCATCGTCCACCTCTTGGGCAACCATTGTAGCTCTAAATGTTATAAAAGATTTTATCATAGTTTAATTATTTCTTCAGCGGCATTTGAACTACCATGACACGAAGCACAAAAAAGTGCTACGTTTGATATAAAATATCTAAACAAAAAAAATTTACACAACATTACATTTTTTCTGCATATTACCAATTATAAGCACTACATCTGTAGCTAATTTCATTGCCCTAGCTCTTGTCATTAAAAACATATTTATGCGGAAAAATGTCAATTTTAGGGCAATATTTGGAGGGATGAAAAAAACAAAGTATTGCAAATATAAAAAAAGTGGATCGTTAGATTCTGCTCCAACATCATCTTAACAAAACTGCTATATTGGAACCGTGCTATCTTTAATGGATCGTTCATAAAACATGAACTAGCGGAGCAAGTGAGGGTCCGCGCCATCATATTCGCAACGCTACAAATGCGCATGAACAGTAAAAACCAACACATACATAATATCAAATGAAAGAGGATTGCCTTACCTTTCAAATGACATCAATCCCAAAAAACAGTATTTAAAAGGAGATGAGTAATGGCCTGCCGAAAAGTACCTAAACTGCCACATTCAGTGGGACCGTGGCCTTAAGCAGTAGCTGCCTCTCGAAGTTTTCATCAGTTCTGTTTCCCCACTTCCCTGAAAATACACCTCCGGCGACGCTGAAGAGTCGTTCTACTGGCGCACTCGAATGAACGGTAGTGATGTGCTTCAGGAAGAGTTGGCGAATCTGGTATTCCTTTTTCTCTTTTATTCCCTCTGCTTCTAGAGTTTGAAGTTTACAGTGGGTTGTGTGCCTTCCCGCGTTGGCAACCTGCGGGTTTACATTCCGTCTGTACACGATTCTAGAAGCTTCAACCAACGAACTTTACATAAAATTGACAAAATAAAACACAGAGGACAGGTACAGGACAACCACTTTCTTTCCTTTAGCAACGACGTTAAACGTCGTTGCTAAAGGAAATAAAGTGGTTGTCCTGTGCCTGTCCTCTGTGCTTTATTCTTTCAATTTTATGTATTCATGTTCAACCCGCTCGGCCTTCACCAGTCCAACGAAACTTATTGTGTTCTCTGGGTGAAGGACATTCCGAGCTGTAGAGTTCCACTGACGTGTTCAGCGATAAACGCTGCTATACTGTCATACTGTTTTGTTGTTGTTTTCTCGGGTTGCCCATCTGTCTTTGTCGCAGTAGACGCGTGTTCTGGTTAGAATTACGACAAGGCTGCTCAAAAGTTGTTGTACACGTTACTCCTCAAAAGTAACGAAATACCGTTACTTGGCCTTAAAAGTAATTAAGTATGTATACTCGTTCCTTGTCTAAAAAAAAGTAACTAGATACGTTACTCGTTACCGAAATAAGTAACTAGGTAGAAGTAACTAGTCACTACAGTCGGTTACAGGTTAAGAAGGCAGCGGCAAATGCCTCTTCAAAGGGAATCATATATCCCTCCGCCACCTCCGCATCCAATAGCGTCCCATCGTTTCCGTGACGTGCGGCCAACGCGCGAGGAGGGTCTTGCCTTTCTGTACATATTTGCTTTATCTTTCCACTTTGACTTAGCGTTGTGGAAGCCACGAGAGGGAGATTAGAGTTTTCCCCCTCCGATGGAAACAAATACGACTTGAGGATTAGGTTCCCCCTCCGATGGATACAAAGGCTGCTTTCAGGGGCTCGGTTCCCCCTCCAGTGAATACAAAGGTCGCTTTCTTAAAAAGTGGGATCAGAGACAAGTTGGAATCTATTGAAGCGGAACAAGGAGCGTTTCCAGTGAACTCTTCTTTCGACTGTGGAGAGATTTTTAACGGGCGCATCACGCTTGTGGGAGGAGCCTCTCCTACCTTCTTGGCTTGTAAACGACTATAGTGACGCGTTGTCACCCATGAACAAAGCAAAAACATGTCCGGGTATTTTTTTTTTTTTTGATTTTACCTTTGCGATGTGCGGAGGGAGTGGGGTGAACAACGGTATCGAAAAAACGATTCTTCATCTGACGCACTCTCAGCAGGATGTAAACATATCAAGTGCGAATAAGTTCTCTAGTCCGTTTCCCGTCCAGTCCGACCCCAGCAAACCCTAAGATCCAATGCAGTCAATCAAACAGCGCCAAAACTGCATCGTCACGGCGTTCGTTCTCTTTGCGGCTATCACCGGCGAAACCAATCACACACACGCACACAAAAAAAGCTCAGGGTTGCGGCGCATTCACTGTCCGTGATTCGTTTGGTCCGAGATATGAAACGTCGCATAAAGGTGAGGAGTGCTGTGACGATGCACTTTTCGAGCGTACGCGTAGCCTCTCCAACTAAAACAAAGTATAGTTGTTGTTTTTTTCTTTATTTTTTGTGCAATACTTATTTGGCTTACTTAGTTCGGAACATTTACAATGACCGCAACATGCGCCCACGAGCCAGTAGTGGGCACTTGTTCGGGGTCAGTTTTTATTTTTTTAATTAATCGAGATACTTTGATTTTTTCATGAACCTTAATGCACTATACGGCGAAAGACACACACACACACACACACACACACACAAAACGAAATTCATATTAGAAAACAATATTGAAACGCGGCATTAAGGTTGGTTCGCACACTTGCGACTGCCTACGACCGAGTGCGTTAAAACTTCTTGTGATCTCTTACGACGAAAGAACGCCATCCATCGGGTGGTCACGGAACACTCGTAATTTCTGTTTTTTTTTTTTATTTATTTTTTGTTGACTCAAAAAACGTCCGACGATGCTATAAAAGAACATTTCTCATAGACAGTATACGTACTACATTTTATCTCGCAAATAGCGAAAGAACCTTCGCTCCAGTGAAATACAGTTCCAGGGCCAGCTCGTGAATGACGCCAGCATTCCAGTGTGTTCTTTCGTCGTGAGAGATCGCGAGAACCCGTTCGTAAGAAAACGCACGTGTGCAAACCAGCCTAACACGTGTGCGAACCAAACAGCAATATCACCCGAGACACACGAGTGAACTTTGTAGTCTGCCATTATCCTCAATGCGGCGTCGCGTGCTCTGAAGGCACAAGTCTTTACTGCCCGTCTTTATTCGCAGAAAGCTGTGCAGAAAGCAAGTCGTCTGCTTCTTGCGGAGGAGTTGTGGTGACGTCAGAACGACGCCGAGCTCTGATTGGCTTTGATCGAAAGGACAGTGGGTAGACCTCAATGATAGATAGATGCCTTAAGGTCTACCCTCTATTTTTTTTTTCAATGAGCCAATCAGAGCTTGGCGCTCCGAGGTCATCGCAACCTCTGCAAGTAGCAGACGAACTTGCTGGCTGCATAAATTTCCATCCACCAATGTGACGACTTTTTGTATATATCAAAAATAGCTCCGGCCGAATGGAAGGTTCGAGAATATAATGCTCCTGCAAACACTGCGCGACCATTCTACAGCGTGCCTCACTCCCCCCCCCCCCCCCCCCCCCCCCCCCAACACCACACAAGAAAACAATTCTGCAAAAATAAAAAAAATAAAAATAATGCATTGCCGATCGCTAAGTCTCCGCCCAAATGTAGTGCCAGCGGTCCGAAACAAACGCCAAAGTTTTATAACTAACCGTTATCCCTCTCAAAAATTATCAGTGATTTTTTTAGCATTTCAGTTGGAAAATGGGGCCCGTTCTCGGAACTGGCGTCATTCAGCTCAATATATTTGAGGTCTGCTATTTTCCCATCGAAAATTCCAGAAAATTATTTGTAAGTTTGGAATAAGATAACGGTTAGTTTCAAAAATTTGGCGTCTGGTTCGAACCGCTTGCGCCACATTTGAGCGGAGAATGAGCGTTCAACAATGCGTAGTTCATTATTGCAATTAAAAATGATATCTATTTATTTATTTTGAGGTGGACACTTTGTAGTTCCGAGTATGACGCACCTTGGTAGCGGCGCTCGCTTCGGAGTGTCTTCTTCTTTGGGCGTTGACGGCACATACGGAGGTGGAACGTCCACTGCGAAAGGAACGACACCCGTACAGTCGGCGTCGTACGGAGGAGACGCGTTGCAGGAGTCCGGCATCCTCGTCCCCTTCGTCTCACAAAAAAAGGTCAAAACTCCACCACCTCCCCGCGTTTTCACGCGGCAGCGGCCATCCACAGTTTCCTTTACACGCACAGCGACAAGACACCGGACACAATGCGCAGCTCGAAACCACTGGGGGATCCAAAGAGACAGATGAAACGCGTTCGTTCCAAGACGCGCGCGTGCCTGTGTCGCGCGCGCTGCTTATAGAAACCGCGCTTGACAGCCCAAGCCAGAAGAGGAGGCAACAACAGCAGCAGCGGCAGGTCTTGACACTGTTCATCAAACATGCGTGACGCCGCGGGTCACGCACCACGCATGTTCGTGCCTGATGCATAATGTATCGCCCGTGTGACTCAGACATTAACGGCGGGCGTAGCGAAAAGTGAAAATAAGATGGGCCGTAAACGGCGACAACGTGTCTTATTTTTCATTTTCATCGGTTGCTTCGTACAGCTTAGATCATAGTTTGCGCACTATAAATCTCAACCGCCTCGCGTAAAATCCCCGCCACGAACGCAGCAACGCCATCGCTTTCGACGTCCCCCGGACAAAGATCGGCTCAGGGGCCGGCCCTAATCTGGACATTTGGCGAAAAAGTCGGCATGAAATCCGGCGGCTATGATTGGCCGGCGCCAAGGTCAAGTGCAGCGTTGACCAATCGCGGACGCCGGACTTCTCGCCGACGTTGTCTCCAAATATCCACATTAGGGCCCCTGGACGGGTGAGAACCGCTGACTTGGCGCATCATCCCGCAGCTCGTCAACCAGCCAGCGCGAAACAAAAGAAACACCATAAAATCCCATAACTGCTTGTAAACACCGGTCCGCAGTTTATTACCAGCTTTAATGACTATTGTCCCTTTAACTAGCTCGCCTAACGAGAAAGGCGAGGGGTATGTCGTTCTCCAGTTTCCATGCAGTTTCAGCGACGGACCTGTCGCGTTATTTATAACGTGATCACAGATTCACAAGTATAGGACAGAAAAATGCTCATCTTTGGCCAGAGTTGATTTTAAAAGCAGTGATTAAATTTAGCTTTGTTGTGTTGAGTACACTCGGTATTACCATCTCACGCTTTGGAATTTATATGAACAGATCTTCCGCCGCTGTCTCCCTTCTATACTGTTTTCCAGTGCGTAAGACAAATGTAAGGGTGAAATCTCGGCCGTATAATCTGCCCAAAGGTGGGATATGGTGATCCAAGTTGATCCAGCAGTTAGGCTCCTGGTCTTCATGCTTTTCTATTTCTTTTTTTACATTAATCACTTGGCGTATTTCTGTGCATCAAATGGAAGAACATCGTTGTTCAATTTCTTGGCAATAAATATGCAACAGGAACGCAAACATAGTACAAAATTCCTAAAATGGTCAGTTTAACCCTCCGTTACCTAATGTAATACTCCTTTGATTAGAAAGAACTAAATAAACCCCAACTCCAGTTTAAAAAGCCAGAGTTTGTTTGTTCCTCCCAGATGGTCAAGAAAATAAACAAGAAGCGCAGGACATGCAGGTGCACGCTGTAGATGAGAAATTCAGTCACGCAGTAGTGATACACGACCGCACGCCGGTACGATGCTCATCCAGATCGAAACGGGCAAGGCCGGGGATTGAACCCAGGATCCCTGGATTCTGCAGCGCGAGCTTTCGTTCCACGTGCTCAGAGCTGCGGTGCCTTACCACACCCAGCCGCCCATCTTGTAATACATAGCACAAATAGGAACCGTGACATCTTTGGGTAATGGCACTGGTTAATTCACACATTAGCATCTCGTACGGCTCTTAATTTTACGATAACTTCACTCCTGACCAAACAAATACAGCAGCCACAAAACAGAAAAAAGAAAGCTCACCAATCCCGAAGACAGTTGATTCCATGATAGACACACACTCACGACGGAATACCGCGCACCAGACGACTTCTTTCAAACACGAAGTACGAAAAGGAGAGGACGCTATTAGGGCCGCTTTGCTCCGGTTATCGGACAGGCCCAATATTTACGTTCGAGATAGGCAGGGCGGGCCGGTGTTGACGAGGAACGCCGACCATGCGAAGGCTCCGGTGGTCCCCCACGTGACAACATCATCAGTATGGACGCCGTACGTCACGGCCCAGAACGACACACACGACCATTGTGTTGACCCCGTTTGTTGTCCCAGAGACCCACCCCACCTTGCTTGTCACCGCCTCGTGTTTTCTTTTTTTCTTTCCCCTACGAGTCGAACGCTAAACCAAGGCAAGGAGACGCCGAAAGAATCGCAGGAAGCAATTAGAACGCCGGTATACGAATAATAATCATAATCTTAATCATAATAGCGGCAGTCCTTTCCTTCATTATTCGATATTTCTCTTCTTTCGCTTTCCTCGCCGAACTTCGGAGCACGCTCGCCCAAGTTCCCATCTCCGGCCTTTGTTATTAACGCTTCGCTGCGGAGGCGACCGTCGAAGGCGAAAGTCTTCGGATTACGTCGGATCGGATAGGAGGGAATAATACGAGGACCTCTGCTTTCGCACGTAATAGTGTCTAAAGCGAAGGAGGTGCGACACTCGCGGAGGTTTTTAGGAAGGGCGGTACCGGATGACGTCAAGTTCAAATACGCGTGACTCGACTACGCGACCGTGGCGATATACCAGGAACATTGCCACCGCTGCGAAACACGTGCCGAGATGTCGTGCGGACGATTTTCCTCTTAGGGCCCTTGGGAAGCGGTATCGACGCTTAGGCGTGCGAAGGTGCACGGCGATGCGTGACGGGCTTAAGAAGGTCTGTACGTTCCTGAGGATTGCTCCGGTATGGTGTAAACTGTAGGGCGAGTAGATAATAAGAATAAAAAAAAACAATATAATAGTAGCTTTATTCACCGCGTAAGTATGTGACGGGAGCTGAGGGATAAGAAAAGCTGTCCAAGCAGCTTGATTGGTCCTCAGCCGTCCTCAAGACCTCGCGGCCATCTTGGTGCTAAAATCATTGTTGCCAGATATCCAGAACTTCGTCTGTAACCACGTGGAAACACTCTTCCGGCGATTTGCGTCCTCCAGAAATGTTCGCCATTCCGCGACAGGTCAAAAAAAGGATATCGCCGGAGTTTCAGGAAGTCGCATTTTGGATTAGTAACGATGGCCAACTGCGCCAGCTCTGTGCTAACTTCCAAGCACCAAAAATGGCGACGTCCAAATTAAAATCGGGAACTGGAGTTCCGATACTCTAATCGTGGTTTCATTAGGGGCTCGAGCATAGACAAAAAAAAAAAAAGACTGAACATTCAAAGAACGTTCGTGCAATAGACCCTTTTTAAAAAGACGGCGCCATCGCCTGCCCGCCATTGCTTGATCACGTACGCTGAGCGTATGCATTCGTCAGGAGGGTTGCGTCAACGTTCGGCGACGACTCGGATACAATCAGACGCGTCCAAGGATTGATGGATGGATGTTAATGACTATACTCTTTGTAACAGGCGGTAGCTTGCGCCACCTAGCCTAAGTCTAAAAAGACAACCAATGGCAACCGCCAATGTTTCTTTATGGACTTATGAAAAGGATTTATGGTTTCTGGCTTGCTTAATGCACGTACTCCGAGCAGAATTTCTCTAAGTGCAACATGGAAACAGACTTTTCCAAAAACAGCTTCGGGCAGGTGCAATTTTCAGCGTCCGTGCGTATGGCGCTTGCTTTGCTCGCTTTCCGCTGGAGCTGTCGATTTGTAACCATTGGAATTGTGTATTCGCGACTCAGGGGACCTATAAGGGCCGCCGCTATCGGGAAAATATGACGGTCTAAAACAGGTCGTGCCGTGCCATTTCACCAACTTAACACACACGCTCGGGTTTCAGCAGGCAAGCAATAAGCTCCAAGAGGTTTCCTTTTATCTTTCTTCTCTACGTTGCAAACCTGCGGCGACTCCAAGAGGTTTACTCCGATATTTCTTCTCTGCGTTTCAAACTTGCGGCGATCAGTTGGCGTAAATGAGCCTCTAAAAGATTGACCTTGTTCGGGAAAGCGACGGAAGGAATGTGGTGCTGATGAACGTTAATAAACGCTAACGTCTCTGGTTCACGCGCTACCGTATACGTTGCGTGCAGAACTACCAGGGCAACCCGCTGATGCGACAGTAACAACAGTCACCGGAACCACTGTTTTAACGCGCCAACCACCGACAACATGTAATCACGGAAACGCCAAGAGACGAGCAGAAATCACGAAAGAACCTGTTCCGACCAGTTGAATCTTTTCCCGTCAAGTGCCGTCCAATCGCGCACTCGGACAGCAGGAGTGACGCAAATTCCGCATGTGGCGGTTGCGGCGTTCTAATGCGCCGGAATAGCGACCGATCCAATCGACCCACGCTGGGTTGATTGATTCGCTCAGCCTTATTCGTCCCAGGTCAGAACGACGCTGGTGTCGCATGTGGTGTTTCCTCTTGCGCTTCAGCTGCAGGTCTGCCCAGCCAACCAATCAGCGTGCGGCACTATGCTGGCAAAGTTGCACGGTATATAGCCAATCACTATACTGCACTCGCACAGTGCTGTAGAATAAAGGCTCGTTCACACACCTGCGTATGACTACGACTGACTGATAAAATGCCGATTTGTAAGCGTCTTGTGACGTCTTATTACCGGAGCGGTCGTATATGTGCAGTCACAAGAGGAACATGCATTGTCTCAGTCAGTCGTAGACAAATGCAAGTGTGTGAACGGGTGTTAAAATGGACGACAGGTCCCCTGTCGTCCGCGTGCTCCACTTGCATTTTTTTACACTCCACCAGTTGGGAAGCAGGCAGCGTAAAGGGGAACGGTGGTCGAGTGTGTTCCCAAGCTCGGAGCACGCGGAGCGAGAGCTCGCGCTGCAGAACCCAGGAATCCTGGCTTCAATCCCTGCCCGTTTCGATCTGGATGAGCACCAGCGGTCGCGTAATCAGTACCGTATTGTGCACGTTACCGACCCCAGGCTAGCATGCACTGGCTAAACGTCTTACGTGTGTAACAGTGTCCGGGCACTCTGAGACTTAGCTGTCTAAACACGAAGTACGGTGCACTGAGATTGCCAAACACAAATCATTATGATTCTCTTCCGCGCCAATTGAACCAAGTGCAAACGAAGCATTGATTCCCAGTCAGCGCGACGGGGTGTTATTTATAGGACGCATTGTTCTAGCAGAGCTACACGTGGAGCCCGGCCGAACACCGATAGCCTCTTGCAAGCAGCTTGGCAAGCGTTGAAGGGTAGAATTATCAATCTGATAATAAGAAACGATGGAAAAGTTCCGCCTTTTTATGGTAAGGCACGGATGTAAGAATATATATGTTGTTTTTTTTTCTTTATTGAAACGACGATTGCAGATAATTGTCGCATGAATTTATCTTGTAGCAAGCGTTCACTACGTCGAAGTCCTCCAATACGCTACTGCTAACGAAACTTTGGCCAAAATTTCATACAGGTTCACCAGCTGCCGCTAGGTGTGCCACTATCCTCAAGAGGGCATTTTAGTTTGGCCACACCACTTTAAGTAAGTCTTCAAATTCAAAAATACAAATTGCTAAAAAAAAAAAAAAAAAAACTCGGACGCCGAAATTTTGTTACGTTTGTATGTAAGCACCGGTCATTCTTTATAGATCTCTAACAAGAAAACCCACAAATAAGATTTTTTTTCAGTTGTTTTCAAACAAAACAATGCTGAAAAAGGGCGAGGCAATCGGGCGTACTGGTTTTCAGTGCCTCTACTTGATGGCGCTGCTCGCAGTTCTAAAGTTTGACGTGATGGGGGTATCAAAAAATGAATAAAAATTTAGAATATTATTTTGGAGATCGTTGCAGGTATGGAAGTTTGGGCAGTTGACTAAGTGTGCAGAGCCGAAGGCGCTTACAGTAACGAGAAACGCTGTCAATGCGATGAAGTGTTACCGCGATCTATGCCTGGCTCATTCAATGGCTGTCCACAAGACACTTCAAGAACGCATGAAGCGGGACTTTTTTGCCATATGAAACGCAACAAATCGCTTCCGCCAAAGTTTTTTTTTTTTTTTTTCTGCCGGAGAGAAAGTTTTTTTTTTTTTTTTTTAGCCAATGTCCGCTTGTGTTCTCCACATGCTCACCATCACGTGGGTCCGGACATCACACGTATCTTGGCTGTCAGTCAATCGCTCAAGGCATCCGTTGTTCTTCGAATCCCGAAAACGGGAAAAGGGAAACGCGTTCTGAAGTGTCGTGTTCGGACAGCCTTTCAAAGGGGGTTCCAAATTCCGACACGCTTTCTGGTTGCCAGATTCCCGGCGTTGCTGGCTAGATTGGCGGCTCTTAGCCCCCTTCTCGACGCTAGCGCCGCGCGTGGTCGCGTATACCGAACTCTCCCATAGCGTTACGGAGAAGTTTCGTCACCAGTAGTGTATTGAGGGACTCTGGCCAAGTGTTGCAACCTCTCTTGGCGGCTTCATACATACGTTATCGTATTAGCTTTCGAATCGAGAACTTTGCTCGCGCCACCACACCTTCATCCTCTCCATCGACATTTGTTTGTAAATAAAGTCGCCGCCCAGCTTTGTGTTCCAGCCACTAGCCTGGAACACAAAGCATAGCGGCAGCGAATCAGACACTCACAGTGGTGGTCTGAAGGCGAAGTTGTGAAAATAAATCCAAAAACACGTGGTGACCATCGCCAATAGGAGGACTACTGTGCTCAAAATTCAAGCACACAATTGTCTTCCTTTTGTCTTTTTTTAATGAGCCTTAAACTCCAAAGAAAGAAGGAATTCGATAAGCGGGGGTCACTGACCGGTGTCGAAGGAGGCCTGTTCGTACCCGTCCACTTTATCCATGAGCTCGAGCGGGGGCGCCGAAGGCTCCGGTTCGTCGTCCATCGCGAAGGATGCGTGGGACCCTGCGCAGAACAGCCGCGGCAAAAAGAAGAAAACATATTCAAATATTAGTACACGTGCTTGCCCCACAGAAGCACTTGTAAGAAAGGGCGACTGACTGATTGATGTTGATGACAGAAAGACAGAAAGGTTAGCATGGCCCTTTATCATAGATGGCTACTCTGTCCCGTGGTTAAACGGAGATGGAAAAATAGATATAGAAATGAGACAGCACAGTAAAACAATTGTGATGAGGAAGAGAAATATAATAAGGATGATGGTAGGATCTCAAGCCCCCCCCCCCCCCCCCACACACACACAAACGCACGAGCCCACGTACACACGCACGCGCGTGCACACACACACACACTTATAAGGACTTGCTGAGAGTGGTACTAGCAAAAAACAATATCAGAGCCTTGTACGCATTTGTAGATCAAGTTTCAGGCACCAAGCACTTTGGACACGGTGAAGAAACGCGCATCTATTAGGATCAACGTGTCTAGTACAGCATGTCGTTAGTCATGATAGAACACCCACAAATAGTGCGTTCTAGAACACACTTCTCTAAAGTCCTTGCTTCCGATGAGATTAAAAAAAATATTAGAAATATAAACAAGTTTTTTTTTTTGTTTTTTTTAAAGGCGCAATGAACTTTGGAAAACAAAACAAATCTGAATAAAAAGACCAGTGGTCCCAAAATTGGTTCTGGCGTTAGTTTTCTTATTTCCAATAGGGAAAACCCCGAGAAAGTCTAGAATTATCAAGGAAAGCGAAAACCCCAAGCGCTCTGAGTGCGTTTGGCCATTGCCATCAGTGCACGTTAGAGCCTGGTCGGATATCACCAAATTGTTTTTAAAGACATTTTCCCCACCAGTACCGCAGTTGCAACATACGCCGACTAATGCGGGAACATGCAAAATCGTGCTTCTTGGTCACGAGTTAACCCGAAATATCCTCGCGGAGGGTAATTAGACTTGATCAGGCCAATTATGTCCTAGCTTCGCTTCATAAAGGATCGTTTTAATAGTACGAGATTGGGAAACACTAAACTGACGCCCATTCCCACAAAGCTTACAACGACGCCGTATAAACCGTGTGACGTAATCCGTTTAGCTTCACTAAGCTGAGAAACATTGCTTCTTGGCTTCGCCATTATGAATATTTTTATTAATCGAACTGAAAACCGCTGTTTTATAGTTTCTGCTGTAATGTGCACATCTTAAGCGGGACAGTCCCCAATAGCGTATCAAAATTACGCTCTACGTGACGGTTTCATGCCGACGTCACAATAGCCAAGTCTCAAATGTGACACAAAGTTTGACGCTGATTACACGACATTGTAAGAAAAGAATGTCTCGTTTAAAAAAACAAATAAGCAGTCCTGCGTTCATCCACACTACAGTCGGGCATCAGAACGCTTTTGTTCACGCACCGTCGGGTGCGTAAACAAAAGCGTTCTAAACAAAATGCACATCAGACCATTTTTTTTTTCAAACGCTTTTGTTTCTTTTTTGTTCCGTATACGCGAGCAAGCTCGTCTCCTGGCACGAGTCCCTGGCACTGACAGAGCTGTACGGCGGCATTCTGTTATCAACTATTTATTAGTTTCTTTGTTTATTTTTTTTTTTTTTTTTTTTTTTTTTTTAAGAGAGCGCGCGCAGTCGGCATCGGGTACTACAAAGCATGGCACCGCTCTAAACAGAAGGACATTGAGGCAACCTAGTCAAAGCTGTTGTGCATCTCAGTGGTGACGCGCCCGCCTTACAGGCAGCGAATCCATGATGGAATCCCGCGGGCGGCAGGCGATCTTTCCCAGTGATTTGGCAACCTCGACGACAGACAACCTACGCCCTGCTACGACAACTACAGCATTCAGTACTACGACTACAACAACTACAACGCACGTCATTTTCAGTAGTGGTAAGAGCCCATAACAGCGATCGCTGTAAAACGCGCGAATATTCCTCGATATGCCATTCCACAAATGCGGCCTCGCATGTAGTACACAACTACACGCATGTTAAAAAAAGATTGCTGTCAGTGACAAAGTTGGTATTTCCATAAGTCTTGTCTCAAATCACAATTTCCGTGCACGCCGTGTTGAAGCGATTACAATGCCTCCATTTGCATTGGATAATAAACCAAGGCCGAAATTGACCAGTGGCGTCACAAGGGGGAGGGGGGGGGGAGAGTGGGGGGGGGGAGAGTGGGGGGGAGGGGGGACCGCCCCGGGTGCAGCGCTCAGGGGGGTGCCGCGGCAGGCTACCGCTCCGGGTGCCGCTGACCCTCGTGACGCCACTGAGCATGACACCGCCCTAATGATAGTGTCGCTCCGGAAAACAAAACAGTTTACGCGCAAAGTTTATGGTTCACGCGCTGCCAGCGTATGCAGATTCATCTCTGAGTTGCGTCTCAAGCCGACGTCCGCAAAATTCGCAAATGGCCTATGGCCGACATGCGCAAACAACTAAACCTCATATAATCCACCTTGTCTCCTTCACCCTAATAAGCAGCATGCATGACATGGTCATATCCGTCGACTGTTCGGATTGAGGGAATGAAAGCATCGATTTATTTCATGAGGAGATCACCTCATAGTTCGACGCGAGCGCGTTGGTGAAGTTAAATAAACATAGGGAAAGAGGTGCTGTTCTGTCCGTCCCTATTTTTATACCTTTTTGTTTTATTTACGATCACCTCACTTGGCCGAGTTATTGACTCAGGGGCGGGGAATTGGTGGCCGAGTGTCACATTCTTTGTCACAAGAGAAGTCACATTCTTAGCAAGTACTTTTATAAACTTTTCAAATCTCCTGATAAATTCTTACAAAAAGTTACACTCCTGTAACTAAATAACTTTTTTTTTTTAATAAATTATTTACGACATGCCGGCACCATCTAAAATGCAGCTTTCTAAACAATCAAACGCTCTGATCTTGGTTTAACATTTTGGCAACAAATACCGGTTCAGGAAAACTACAATTTGATAATAAATCGATGTTTAGAGCCCGTTTTTGAAGTTTCTCTATTGAACTTTTGTAAGGAACGCAGATATAAGCTAACCATTAGGTTGAAAATACAGCAGCGCTTTTTAACTAAAAACCATGAAAATACAGAGCAAGCTTCTGTATTTTTATGGTCTTTAGTTAAGAAAAGCTTCAATCTTCAGTTTAATGCACCCACAAACAATATTCTTTTCACAATTTATTTTCTACTAAAACCGCTGTAATTTCTGTATATTCTTTCCATAGCCGCGTGACACGGGTGCAATACTGCATGTTTCCCCAAAGGAACAGGCCATAAACAATACCTTTCCTAAACGATAGTTTTCCTCAGGAGGTGCACTGGTCTATTTGATGTCCATGATGCCCCAAGAAAATTTGTCAGGGTTTCTTTTCGCCGCAAAACTAAACTACGCATCGCCGTACGCTCATTCTCAGCCCAAAAGTAGCGCTAGGGGTCCGAACGAGATGCCAAAGTTTCAGCACGAACCGATATTTTATTCAAAAGGTATACGTAATTTTCTAAAATTTTCAATGAGAAAATGGGGCTTATTTTTGCCCTTTTTAGGTGTCTGGTGCCATAGAGGTTCATTTATTCGAGAGCTCCGTCGGCCACCATTTTCTCATTGAGATTTTCGAAAAATCAATTCTAACTTTTGAATGACATATCGGTTCGGGCTGAAGCTTTGGCAACTGGTTCAAACGTCTAGCGCTACTTTTGGGCGGAAAATGAGCGTTCGGCGATAAATAAATTATTCTCGCGGAAAAAAAAATCTAAACTGTTTTGGGGGACACTTTGCACTTTTACGTACCTCTTTGAAGGATAAAGTAAGTTGTAAACTTAAACCGTGTCATCGTTGCGTGCCATCCTCTTTCTCGGTGATGAATATGTCCTGCAAATTTCGTACAAATAAGACTAACGGCTAACAGGTTTGCCTTCCTGTGGAACATACTTCTTTAAAGACAAAAAAAAATTTAAAAAAAGGTGGCAGAATGTGTTAGCGCATTGCAACTCAGAGCAGGTCCAATAGCTCGCGCTGCAGAACGTTTGGGTTTAATCCCCACCCTTGCCCGTTTAGATATGGATAAGCATCGTACTGGCCTGCGGTCGTGTATTGCTACAGCATACACGACCGCACACGATTCATACACGTTAAAGACCCCAGACTAGAAGTCGCACTGGCTTCTAGTCTGGGGTCTTTAACTGCACTGGCTAAATCTCTCATTTATAGCGTACAGTGTCGCCACACCTCAAAAACAGACAGACCTTACGCTTTCTAAACACGAACATTTCATATAAATATATATTTTTTCCAACTGAGCGGCAACGTGTAAGAAAACATTCGTCACAACTTTCCGCTGCGTCTTTACCTTTGAAGCTGGCCCTCTTGTAGCTGGACGTTGAAGAGGCGACACTCAGTTCGCGGCTGAGCACGCGCCGCGTGCATGGCGGTGCCCGCTTACAACTCGCCTTGCGGCTACTCATCGTGAGACCGACAAGTGAAGCTACAGGCGCACGTGGATGCGGCTTCCGACGCCGGCTTAGATGCTTCCCGACGTGGCCGGTCCCGGAGGGCGGCTTCTTCTTGGCCGGATGCCTCGGTGACTGACTTCAAGTCGGCGAACGACGGGCTCAGACAAGGCGCCGCACTCTTTCCCTCGACGGGAGATCGGTCAACACTCCGCACAAATCAGGCACTCGGTGCTGCGTCCCAAGGAACTCAACAACTGCATCGAGGCGTCTGCATCGCCGCTCCGGAAGCACCCGTGGCTGTCTCTGGAGAAGTCCTCAACTTCTCGAAGGAACTACTCAACGCAAACAGCGATGTCTTCACTCGAAGAGGGATGCTGTCGACGCGAACACTGCAGGTTCGTGACGATTCGGAGAATTTGTTGACGACGCAGTCCTGGGCTGCGCAATTTCGCGCCCTGTTGCAGCGGGCGACGACCTGTATTCGGTTGAGCTGGCTGTTTCTTAATAAAACTTCTTGACAGCGATAAAAAAGAAAAAAAAAAGAG